TTTTAAAAAGACATTCGGCTATTATTCGGCAAACGGGCATAAACTTCGGCGACTTAAACAATTTTTACATAGCGAATTTAAAATTACTAAAAAAACAAAGGCCTAGACTACATGAAGAACGTGCTCAGCGCGGCGAAGTCGCCACATCGCCGCCATTGCCGTTGTCCTCGTCGTCCTTCTCCTCCTTGGCGCGGCCGCCCCTGCTGGACCCCTGCCCGGGGTCGCCCTGGTGGACCGGTGGCGGTGCGTCGTCGTCGAGAACGACGACGCCTCCCTCGTCGCGGCCACGACGCCGAGCGGCAAACTGCTCCAGCGCGCGAGACTGGCGCTCTAGCTCCGTCCGCACTCAGTCTTCACGCGTCCATTTCAATGCCGCCTCGACGGAGAGCCTCGGCTCCGTCTTCACGGCGGCGAGGCCTGGCTCCCTCTTCACGGTGGCGAGCCCGGGCTCCGTCTTCATGGCGGCGAGCCCCGGCTCCGTCTTCGGCTTGACGAAGCGGGGAGGAGCCGAGGAGAAGGCGTGCCCGCCCTCGTTGATGACAATGTCGGCGCTGCGGGTGCGCCGGCCGAGCGGCGTCTTCGCTGGCTCGGCCTTGGTGCTGAACAACGCCAGTGACCCGGAGGAGGAGGAGCGGGAGGAGGAGGAAGAAGAGGACGCCGCTCCGGGCGGCCAGGGTGGCAGGGTACCTCAAGGGCGAGGCGTTGCCACCCTCGAGGTGCCGGAAAACGGCGTGAAGCGAGCGGCCGGGGGCGCCCCACCACATGCGGCGCCCCTCGCTATTCTTGGTGCCCCGCACCACCGGTGTCCCGTTGGTGGAGGCTAGCCGCTGCGCCTGCCGGTGCTAGAAGTACGCCGCCCACGCCTCGTGGTTACCGGCGGCGTGCTGCGGGAGGGCCCGCTGCTCCTGCGTCAGTGACGCCCGCACGCGATCGACCTCGTCGGCGAAGTAGTCGGCGCGCGCGGCAATGTCGGGCAGCGGGGAGATAGGGAACCCCCGGCGCTGAGCCTCCACCCGCTCGGCCCTGCGCGCATGTCGGGAGGCGTCGGGATGTTGGCTTCGAAGAGCAAGTACGCCTCCCACTCGTGCAGCGAGCGGCGACCGAAGTCATTGGCCGCTGCCCCATTGCCCGGGAATCACTCGCACATCGTCGTGGCTGGGCTTGGGGAGGAACGGCGGCGGCGGCTGCGGATGCGCAAGGGGAGAGAGAGGAAGAGCACGACAGGGTGTGGCCAGAGGCGAGGGGGAGGCGTTGCTTTTATAGCGACCGGACGCCATGTGTATGTGTGGCGGGAGGCAGGGCGTCGCCGCACCGCCCGTGAGGAATCAATGGAAGGTTGATCGGCGGCAGCCTTGGCATTGATTCCCCGCGAGAAACCGAGGAGTTGTGAGGACGACGAGGCGTGTCGCTGACTCGGCGGGCCCGCAGTTAGTTCGCATCAAAATCGCTTGCCCCGGCGTCCTCGGGCGCCCCAGCGCGTTGGGTTCAGCCTGAGTCTGCTGGCGTCAATTTCAGCCCAAACCGACGAAAAGCAGGCTCCTGAGACACGATTGGGCTGATTTTTGAGCGTCGACGTGAAAAAAATCACATGGGGGGTGTTGGGGACGCCGCTGGAGATGCTCTGGGAGTGCTCTTGGTTTGGGTATGTCTAAGGTCGAGCTCCAGAAATAGTGGTCGGAGAAAACAAATTTAGAACACCCACCTTTCACGATGTAAGAAATTTATATATGCACTTAATTTTCCACGTCACTGCAGCGTATTTGGCCACGTCAATCCACTCCAGGATTATTTCAACGTGTTCATTCAGTACTTTTTTTTTGCGGGGGTGTTCATTCAATACTTGAAGGAATACAATACCAGGTTCTCTTTTCAGTACGCAAATTCTTGTTCGTCTGGGAAGACGATGGTTCAAGGGGCAAATACACTAATCTGGTCACCTTTCTAGTGCACAGACTCCAAGTTTAAGTACCAAATTGACATAAACCCCTAATCTGTACCAAATAATCATGCAAATATTTGGAGGTAATATCATCAAGAGTCACATAACTTGCGTTTGATGTTTAGTTTGATGATCTGAATATAATTTTATTTTTCATATTCGTCGTACTGCCATGATTGAAGATGAATAGATTAGAAGTTTTTTCAATTTTTTTAAATATAAATTTATGATCATTTAACTTGCGTCCATATGGCCTGCTCGCATGTCGCACCAACCTGGCGGAGGCTCACCTGTTAATGGCTAGGAGTGTACAAGGCATTGTGTGACCCTTTCATGCCGTTTTTTTTAAGAAAAACTCCCTCGCGGTTCATTTAATTACACGCAAAAGGTCTCAAATGTAATGAAAAAAGATAGGACGGATGAAGTTCGAACGCACGACGTTGTTAATAAAACACTCAGACTCATATCCATTGCACCAGCTGTCGGTTGATGGTGAACACGCACAACTAAAGTTTATTTAATTATACGAAACAGCCTGTCAAGACCAGATGTTCGTAACCCGGGCGGCAGGCGCATGGACAATTTTGCAGAAAAAAATGGAGTAACAAAATCGATCTGTAGACATCCAACGTGGAAGCACAGGAGCTAACCACTTCATCAAGTACCTGTTACTGTCAATAAAGACAAACACTGAGTTTTATATTTTGGCCACAACAAATACTCGTATTCATGGTTTTTTTCTCCAAGACCAAATTTTTATAAATTATTCTGTTGTTAAACTAATTATATTATATTACACGTTAAAAATATTTGACTTGAAAATTCTATTCAAAATTTTAAACGCCAAAAAAGGAATTTCTGAGATATTATGAAACCCGGATTTTTCCGTTCCCTTCTGGGAAAAGGGGGGATAAAAAAATCTCACTCGTGAAAAAGATTTGTATGTTGTGGGTTAGGCTTATATATTTCAACGCGGTTTTTTCATTTGATTTTTTTGGCGAAAAAAGCTACTCCCTTCATTCCATAATGTAGTGCGTCCACATTTTTCGAGATTTAATTTTGACCATAAGTTTAACCAACGTGGGGCGACTTTCAATGATATATTTTTTGCTCCCGCCGCAGTTGCCCATGTTGGTTAAATTGATGGTCAAACTTAAATCTCGAAAAGCGCGGGCGTACTATATTATGAAATGAAGGGAGTAAGATTTTTTGGGAACCTGGAAAAAAGGAATCTAAAAAAAACGAAGGACCAATATAAAATCAACTGTATCTATATATGTGGACGAACATGTAGTTGGTGCAGTTGTTGGCTAATGCGCTTGTTGTGTTTGAATCCCCCCACACCCCCGTTTTATTCTCATTTCTACCACCACTCGTGCTGATAAGTGGGACCCACACGTATTATTGAGGGGCTTCTGTTTAATTTAAATACAAAATGAGGGGTGCTTCTAAAAAAACACGCTAGTCGCACTAAACTGTTCCCGTCACTGATAGTGGTCCATAGCCACGCGGGTGTACCATAAGCGCGGGATACATCTGAATATGATCTAAGTGACCGTATTTGCACAAGAACTCAAGTTGAGTGACCAAAAATCCATGTTTTGAAAGTTTTAGCACCAAACTAAACATCAAGCGCAAGTTTTGTGACACCCAGTCATATTACCTCAAATATTTGATTGTCTAAGTAATCCCTCCGTCTCGAATTACTTGTCTTAAATCTGTCTAGATATAGATGTCGTATCTAAACACGTTTTAGTTCTAGATACACCATAATTCATTTTGGAGCTCGAGCTACATAGAGCTCATTTAAAAAAATCAAAATTAATGTTTCAGTGCTTCAAAAAATTTTGAAAAAATATTATATGGGTGTATTACTACATGCTTGCACATTTTCATGACAAAATACATTGATTCGTGAGCTACACAAAAAAGACAAATCTCTGACATTGAAAACAGTGAACAGTGCGTATGCTGTTCACCGTGTAAGATCCACAATTTTCACTTTTTTGTGTAGCTCATGGATCAATGTATTTTCTCATGAAATGTTACAGAAGGTGTAGTACACATTTTCGGAATGTTTCAAATAAAGGGCTCTATGTAGGCCGAGCACCAAAACGCTGCATTCATTAGATACATTCGAAGACAAGTAATTTCGGACGGAGGTAATATGTGATATGTTTTGTTACCCGTGATATTCAACTTTCAATTTTAAATTTATTGAAAAGACAAACTTTCTGTGTATATAGAATCATCTGTTTCTGTTTGTTTTTGATTTATCGTTTATCTTATTTTTGTATCTTTAAACATTTAATTTTAGTTGATACTTTATATGACATGAGGTGGTATACACAATCAGTTTCCTTTTGTATTATCCTATTTGTGGATGTGGGGTTTGTATATGAACTTGTCATTCCCAATGAAATTGAACAAGTAGTTTGTTCTGTTGGTTGTTGGAAACTTAGAACTCATTTTCTCTGCCAACTTTCCTGATCATGATGGATGACACCAAATTGCATCCTTTTCCGCTGCCTATTTCCACAGGGCTAGCGTATCATGGCACTCCTATTTTCTTAATTCTTCAATGACAGGGATGAGTTAATTGCGGTTTTCCCTTGATCCATTCAATAAACAGGGATAAAGTTAACTTTGTACTCGAACTCATTCTAGTGTAGATAGTTACATGTGGAAGCCACTGGATTAATTGTCATCAAGATCATTTGGTTATTGTTGTGATGTACATGTACTATAATTTTTCCTGCCAACTAAAACATTTTATTATGGACCTGGGTGACATTAATATAGTTTGATATGTTTTGTAGATTATAAGGCAATGCGCAAAGGAAGAAGCTGCTTATACTTCATCAGTAACAAGACCAAGGCTGTCTGTTCTTGTAGGAAAAACCATTCCAAGGACTTCCACTATCTGATGGGATGCAGGAAAGATAGCAAAGACAGATCAATATAAGTTGACGAGCCTCATTCACCATTGGTATCCATCACCATGAAACCATCAAGCACCATCACACATTAAAAATAATCAAGCGTTCCACAGGTGATTTCAATGCTTGCACTTGTTGGAGCAAGGGAACCGCTTGTTCAAGCACAGGCGTGCCACCGTGGTACAATGCCGCTCAAGTCTCTGGCCAGGCCAAGGCTTTCTCCGGTTACCATGACCGAAAAAGACAACAATACACACGACGGTCTAATTCCCGGTTTGCCGGAAGACATGGCGAAGATATGCCTCGCTCTCGTCCCTCGGAGACACTTCCCTGCCATGGGTGCAGTGTCCAGGAGGTGGATGTCGTTCATCGGCAGCAGAGAGTTCAGTGCTGTCAGGAAGGAGGTTGGGAAGATTGAAGAGTTGGTCTATGTCCTTGCTGCTGAAGCTGGAGAAAATGGGTGTCACTGGGAGGTCTTGGGGGAGCGCAAAAACAGTGCAATTCCCCCTATGCCTGGGCTGGCCAAAGTTGGGTTCGGTGTGGTGGTTCTTTATGGGAAGTTGTATGTCATTGCTGGCTATGCTGCTGTCCATGGGAATGACTCTGTTTCTGACGAGGTTTACCAGTACCATGCTCGGCTCAACAGGTATATTTTGGATCTTCCATAATAATTCAAATGCTCCTAGTAGTAATAAGCAAGAAGTCATTTGAAATCTGAAACTAATCCATCCTGCTCATATGCATAGGTGGGGTGCACTTGCCAAGATGAATGTTGCGCGTCGCGACTTCGCCTGCGCCGAGGTCGACGGCACGATATACGCTGCCGGTGGATTCGGCTCCAGCGGCAACAGTTTGTCCAGCGTGGAAGCATACGATCCCCGGCAAAACAGATGGAGGCTGATCGACGGCCTTCGCAGGCCAAGGTGGGGCTGCTTCGCCAGCGGGTTACACAGCAAGCTCTACATAATGGGCGGCCGATCGAGCTTCACGATCGGCAACTCCCGCTTCGTCGACGTCTACGATCCCGGCCGCAGCCGCTGGGAGGAGATCAAGAGAGGCTGCGTCATGGTCACCTCGCACGCGGTTGTCGGCGAGACCTTGTTCTGCGTCGAGTGGAAGAACCAGCGCTGCCTCTCGGCGTTCGACCCTTCGGACGGTTCTTGGAAGAAGATTCCGGTGCCGCTCACCGGCAGTTCGAGCACCAGATTCTGCCTTGGGGCGCGTGGCGGGAAGCTGCTGCTGCTCTCGCAGGAGGAAGAGGGCGGGTATCAGACGATGACGTACGATCCGGCTGCGGCGCCGGGCTCGGAGTGGGGGACGTCGGAGCTGAAGCCGTCGGGGTTGTGCCTGTGCAGTCTGACCATTCAGGTTTGATGATTCGGCGAAGGATTTTTTTTCAAAACTAGCATGGTTTTTACAGCAATTTCGGAAATTAGCAGTGCTAACAAGTTATTTGCAAAATTAGTACCCCGTCGGTCTCCCATTGGCCGAAGAGTGGCTCTTCGGCCAGCCGTTGACCGAAGAGGGCACTTCTGCCTCCCATTGGCCGAAGTGTGCCCCAACTAGGCCGAAAAGGACTCTTCAGCTTCCCATAGGCCGAAGAGCACTCTTTGGTCAACCATAGGCCGAAGAGTCCCCGGGCCCCACCTTTTCGCGTGAACTGGTGACCGAAGTTGCATGGTCGCGCTCTTCTGCGTACTGTAGGCCGAAAAGGGTTTTTTATTATGACTTACGAATATTGTGTAACCATTTTGCAATGAAAAAAAATTGCACAGCCCTTTCCGTAAATATTTTCCCGCCAACTCTTTCCCCTCCATATGTTCCCGCCAACCCTTTCCCGCCATATGTTCACGCCACCCGTTTCCCGCCAACCCTTTCCCGCCATATGTTCCCGTCACCCGTTTCCCGCCAACCCTTTCCCGCCATATGTTCCCGCCAACTCTTTCCCTCCATACCCCAGTCGTTCTTTCCCGCCATTTTCTCTCCTCTCTACCTATAAAACCCCCTTGACCCGGAGGTGAATAAGTAGTCCAGTGTAGTCGAGATGTCTCATTATCCTTTTGATCGTAGTTTTCATCCTGAGATGAGCAGCACTCTTCTGAGGCTAGCTACCGATTTCAGGATGGACAATAGGATAGTTCCATGGGAAGAACTCACCGGTAGTGACACCATAATGAATGAGTTGGCTCACCAATTACGTAGGGCTGGGTGGCCTGAAAGGACTTATGCGGAGGTACGTAAAGAACTTCTTAGGTTGAATGAAAGGTGGAAGAAGGTAGTGAAGCCGAAGAGTGAAACTTTTAGAAGGACTTTAGAAAAGCATCCATTTTGATGGACTGAGGAGAGCGAGGACGAAGATGATATCTTCATGCCGCCGCTCCCGGGTTCCGCATCATCGAAGGGCAAGAGTTCTGCATCGTCAAAGGGCAAGAGTTCTGCATCCACGAATGGCAAGAGTTCTGCATCGTCGAAGGGCAAGAGTTCTGCATCCACGAAGGGCAAGAGTTCTGCATCATCGAAGGGCAAGAGTTCTGCATCAACTGAGGATGACGATGATGACTTCATGTAGTATGTAAGCTGTATTCCAGTTGTACCTCAACAAGTAGGGAATTATGTTCTACGTTAATTTCATTTTGTAGTATGTAAGCTGTATTTATTAAGTTCAACCGCACCGTTTAATTTAGATGTGCTTGTATCTTAATTATCGGTTGTAGTCTCTCTGAAAATGTAACTGGAATAGCAATGCGAATTAATAGTAATATGTCTCTCGCATACATAAAACGATATATGTCTCCTTATCAGATAGAAGCAAGTGCAATAGTAACACATACATGAAGCATGTCTCATACATAAATACTGACTCACATATGCGAATAGTCTGAAACTAACATAGATAATGACTCATACATAGATAATCATATCACTGCGGGGGTCGACGACGAATCTGGGTCTTCCTCGGGCGAGGACCGGAAGGCGATAAGCGCTGAGGCGGTGGACGATGCTCACGAAAACCACGACCATAGATAACCTCGTCTGTCACTGTCTGTGTCTCCTGCGACGGTGGTGGTGGTGGAGTGTGAAACACCGTGTGCGAGAAGTCATAAATGTTTTCAGCTTGGTCATCGTCATCGCCATAGCCCTCTAATCCACATCCAGCACCACTAAGTATCGGTGATTGCACTGAATGCATGAACTGTCGCGACTGGTTGCCTACCGCAATATAGTAAAACGGGTAAAATTAATTTGCGAACCTACAATGTTGAAAAGAATGTACAAAGTAGTGTTACCTAGTTCCATTTGATGAGACCAGGAAGAGGTGCCTGGTTGAGAAGGCGATGGCTGATTCCAGGAAGAGCTCCCTGGTTGTGAAGGAGATGGTTGATGCACAGAGAGGCGTGGTTGCTGCACGGAGTGTTGTGGTTCTGAACGCTGCACAGAGTGTCGTGGTTCTTAACGATGGACAGAGGGACGTGGGGGCCGATGTGCGGGACGAGGAATGACAACATCCGTAGATCGCCTACATGTAAGTGATGCGTAAATCCCTCTTAACTTCTCATCCATACGCCTCAACCATGAGAGGTGCTCTGGCTGTGGGATAGTATCCCCCCTCTCAACCTGCCGCATTAAAGCGGAAACCTCCTCTCGCGCCTGGACTGTCAAGTCACTCTGCACATGAAGAGTTAACCCATTGTATATGATAAGGTTATGATAGAACTACACATATGAGAAGCATGACACGTACCACGTGGTGTCTCGTTCCCACAACAGAGGTAGTTGGGTACATATCGCTGGTCTGAGGGGCTTCAATCTGATCAGGAGCAGCTGATGGAACCAAGTAGATCCTCGTTGTATGCCGGTAAGTTTGTAAATACAACCCAAACTTGTCCCAGTCAAAGGGCCCAACCTCATTCCAGATATTTGTCGGTGCCGTAGTCCATTCTTGAACGTAAGGGCTAATGCTCTGAAGCCAAACAACCATGGACTTGTTTCCTCCTACGCGACTGTACCTGAGATTGATAGATTAATCAGATTGACATACACGTTGCATGGTTAGATATATTCTGAATGTAGTGCTGACAACTTTAATATTATTACTTACTTGTGAACGTGGTCTGGTATCCGTGGAATATCTGGAATTGCAGGCTCTTGACATAGACCAAACTGTCTCATCACCCTATGAAGAGCCATCTCCTCAACCGTCACGTCGAACACCAACTTTGCCTTGGTCATCCAGTAGTGCCGATCTCTAGTGCATAAGGCAGAGATCCCAACTGGATACCTGGATGTTATAGTCTGATACGAGTAGGGCTCCCAGATAACTTGATCCTCGTGCAAACTATCAAACTGCACCGTGAAGGACGGGTAGCAGCCCTTCACCTGGGTATGTGCAAACTGTCTCTGTACATGACAACAAATTTACATTAGTAATACTATTGCACGGCAAAAATAATCGAAGGAATTACATAATTTAAAACTACCTCTCTCCGTGCCCAAACAGATCCCATAGTAGGCAAGTCGCTGATAGCAGGCACGTAAGCCCCTGCCATGTCCTCCAATCCAAACGGTGTGTCAATGGAGACATAGGGTCGTCCAATAGGGAATCTCTCGTAAGACCAGAGCTGCAACAATAGTGGACATCCAACCAGACCTGACTTTCTAGACTTCAATAAGCAACCTTTGCACAAGCCTCTATACGTAGCTGCTAACACGGCAGAACCAAAACTCCTCTGGACAATATCCGCAGGGCAACGTGCGTCACCTCTCTCGTGCAATACCGATGAATCGTGCATCAACAGTGGTCACGTGGTTCTCCGTGAACATCGTCTTGCCGAACAACCATAGAATATATGCCTCTAGGGATCGATCAATCTGTGCGTCTGACAAATCTACTGCGGGGTATCCTAATGAGACAATCTACATAGAAAACATACAATTGTGTGAACGATGTACTATTGGTAACTAAAAAAACATAGTCATGTGGCCACTAAGGTTACCTGAAACTGGCTCAACCACCTAAAACGTGGCCCGTGAGGATCATCGTTTAAGCCCGTAGCAGTTGGCACCGCAGCTAGAAAACGGGCCTGCATATTTGCAAGCCAGCCAGGTTCTGCCTCTAAAGGACCTATGGCATCACCGGCCAAAGGTAATCCCAACAAGTAGGAGACATCATGTAAAGTAGGCGCCATCTCTCCCTAGGGAAAGTGAAAGGTGTGTGTCTCTAGTCTCCATCTATCTACTAAGCAAGTAAGGAGTGACCTGTCATAAGAGAATCGTTTCACTTGCCTCTTTTTCAACTGCATTGGTTCACCTGCCTCATCCAAGTTCGGATGGTCAACCCACTCTTCCAACGTACCCTCAACCAGCCGTGCCAAGGGTAGAAGTCCAGCCCAACTTAACCTACAAAAAAAAAGAGAATGTAGCATGAAAAGTAAGTAATTATATGTTTCAATACCTATGTCAAACATGTAAGGCACTATATGTATCAATACCTATCAACCCATGAAGGGTGTATCATCCAGTTAGTCTTCGGGGTGCGAGTGACCAAAACGTCTAAGTTCTTGCCCCCTTGCATAAGTGTAGCCCGGTGACCTCTATCAATCGTACCATTAAGCAACAGACACAAAGACATATCTGCAATCAAAACATAGTCCAGACATTGCAAATTAATACATAGTTCACACATACAAAGTAAAACATAGTTCAGTCGACATTACAAATTAATACATAGTTCGGACATACAAAGTAAAATATAGTCCAGCCGACATTACAAATTAATACATAGTTCAGACATTGCAAAATAAAACATAGTCCAGACGATATTACAAATTAAAACATTCTCCCCCACATTATATAGCTTATGAGTTATTCCTTCTTCGTCCTCCCCTTCGGCCTCGACTGCCACGACCACGTCCGCCTCTTGCTCCTGTTGTTGCAGCCGTCGATGTGGAAGCACTCGCCGATGTGGAAGCACCATCTTTGTTCAGGTCAGGACAATATTTCATCATATGCCCATAAGCCGCGCATAGCAAACATTGTATGGTTGCTCCACCAGCTTCAGATTGGTCCATATCATTTCGGATTCGACGGGCCTTACGTCGACCCCTGCTTGTTCGCCGAAGTTCTGGATCCCAGATGTATACTCTCTCACCGTCGTTAACCTTGTTGAAATTGCCAACGACTCTAAACCCTGTCATCTCACCGGTCCATGTGTTCAGTACAGCCTCTTTTAAGTAGTATGGCGACACAAAGGAGATGGCAGCCAACTCAATCTGGCCACAGGCAGCCAACACATGTGAGCAAGGCAGGTGCAACAACTTTGGTTTGTTGCATGTACACTCACACGTTGGATAAAATTCCGTTCCAATTTTTACCTC